GCCGATGCATCGGCGTTGATCGCCGATTCCAGGCCGCCCCCTCGGAGCGGAGCCCCCGCATCGAGGCGGCCATGGCCTCGCGGAAAGGGCCATTGTCCAGCCTCCACGCGGCGGCCCCCTTGGGAAGGGCACGGGCGCGGCTCTTGGCCGGCAAGGGCCGAGGTCGCGCCCGTGCCCGTCGCGAAGGACGCTCTGGGCGAACACTTGCGCGACAGACGCGTCGCGGGCACATCTGCCCAGGGGGCGGGCACGTGCACCCGCGCGCCGCGCGTCGAGCGGCGGCGGCGCGCGCCCCGGAGTTGCCCAGGAAGCTTCAGAGTTCACCGGCGCGGAGGGGCGCGCTTTCGAGCGCCCAGAGCGCCTGGGGAAACCTGGAGCCGCTGCGGCAGCTCCATGGGCCACGCGCCCGGGTGCGCCTGGGGGGGCGCCTTGGAAGCGCCAGGGCAGCGCCTGGGAACCGCCTGGGAGCGCCGCGGGCACAGACGCGCGCAGGCGCGCACGGGATTTTAGTTTTTTGTTGGAAGGGATCGTACGAGTTAGAGGCGCTTCTGTGCGCCGCGGAGCAGTTCGTTGCAAGGGATCCGGGCCGCATGCACGGGAAACCATATTTGCTGCAAGGGTTTCAGGCCGCACGGGCAGAAAACCGTATTTTCTAGAATGGGAAGTGGGCGCGGATATAAGGAGCGACCGAAGGGGCGGCCTAAGGGATTTGAGGGCTTATATATGCGTATTATATAGATACACTCTCCGCCATAGGGTCCACTAGCCCCTCTCGAAGCCCGTTGGACGTATCCCACCCACCCACGACCCACGACGTGCAGAACTCAACGCGTCGATGAAGACGGCGATGGTCTTGCCAATCACTGTCGAGAAGCATCCCGAACTCACCGAGCGGGGTCTGCGCTTTGGAGCGCCTGGAGCGCCTGGGCAGGCCCGGAGCTGTTGTGGCAGCAATTGGGCCGCGCCTGGAAGCGCTCGGGGGACGCCTAGGGATCGCTTGGGAAAGCTTGGGGAACGCCTGCGAGCGCCTCCAAGAGTTCACCGACGCGGAGGGGGGCGCGCTTTGAGTTGCCCAGAGCGCCTGGGGAAACCTGGAGCGCCACGGGCACAGACGCGCGCAGGCGTGAAGGGTATCGTATTTGTTTGACGGAGATCGCACGAGTTGGAGGCGCCTCTGTGCGCCGCGGAGTGTTTTATGCAAAGAACTCGGGCCGCATGCACGGGGCACCACATGTTGCTGCAAGGGACCCGTGCCGCATGGGCAGAAACCTGTATGTGTTACATGGGAGGGTGAGGGCGGACATATTGGGCAGCCGAAGGGGCGGCCTCAGGAAATTGCTGCTGTTTATGATCACTACGGCGGCGGCATCGGATAAGGAACGTCTTCCTGGGGCCCAGACCCTGGCGCACTCCTTGTTGTTTCGAGGCGAGGTCGGTGGCCCAGGTTTGGCCGCCCGTCGGTCGCGACACCTTGGATTCCTTATCGAAGGCATCCTTATTTAAAACCTCCACCGTATGATTTTTATTGGTATTAATGCATGTTTTTGTTATATAGGAAAGAGCGTGTTCTACCGCTGCTGGCGGAAAACCGGGGGGGGTCACTACCGGTTCGAACCCCTCCCCCTCCCCCCCCCTTCCGGAAAACCGGGGGGGGTCACTACCGGTTCGAACCCCTCCACCCCCCCCCCCAGCTCATCATGAAAAGGGGGGGGGGTCACTACCGGTTCGAACCCCCCCCCCCCTCAAAAAACCGAGGGGGGGGGTCACTACTAGTTCGAACCCCCACCCCCTCGAAAACCGAGTGGGGGTGCGGACAGTGGTGGAAACGGTGTTGGTGGGGACAGTGGTGAGGGGACAGCGGGACAGTGGTGGGGACAGTGGGACAGTGGGACAGTGGTGGGGACGGTAGTGGTGGGGACAGTGGTGGGGACAATGGTGGGAACAGGGGGGGACAGTGGACAGTGGTGGGGAAGGTGGTGGGGATAGTGGTTTGGGGACAGTGGGAATGAGGTGGAAACAGTGGGACAGTGGAGGGTACAATGGTGGTGGGGACAGTGGTGAAGGCGGTGGCGAGGACGGCGGTGGGACAATGAGACAGAGGTACAGTGGGGACAGTGGTGGGGACAGTGGGGACAGTGGTGGGAACAGTGGGACAGCTCAGTGGGACAGCGGAGGGGTCAGTGGGACAGTGGGGACAGTGGGGATAGTCGGGCAGTGGTTGGGGCCGTGGAGACAGTGGGGAGAGTGGAACCGTGGTGGGAACAGTGGTGGGGACAGTGGGGACAGTGCGACAGTGGTGGGGGCACTGGTGGGGACAGTAGGGACGGTGGTGGAACCAGTGGGGACAGTGGTGGTGAGGACAGTGGTGCTGGGAACAACAGTGGGGGATGTGATGCGGACGGTGGTAGGGACCGGGAGTCGTTTGCTGGCGGTGCGTGGGGGGGGGGGGTCGAACCGGTAGTGGGTCCGGTCGGAACCCCCCCCTCCGGTTTTCGAGGGGGGGGGGGTTCGAACCGGTAGTGACCCCCCCCGGTTTTCCGGATCCGGAGGGGGGGGGGGGGGGAGGGGTTCGAACCGGTAGTGACCCCCCCGGTTTTCGAGGGGGAGGGGGGGGGGGGGGGAGGGGGGGGGGGAGGGGGGGGGTTTGCCGGGGGAGGGGGGGGCGGGGAGGGGTTAGGGGAAGGGGGGGGATTTTCGGAGGGGGGGGGGGGGGGGGCACCCCCGGGTTCCGGAGGAAAAGGTTGGCAATGTTCCACAGTAAAGCGGCGGTGGATCACGCTCTCTCTTATATTGATACATGCTCTTAGTTTTCGCGGTTCGGGATTTGGTTCAGGGGTTACGGTAGGGTTTACGTTTAGGGTTATGGGTGAAGGTTAGGGGTTAAGGTGGGGGTGAGGGTTAAGGCTAGGAGTGGTTAGGGTTGGGGGTGTAGGGTTACGGGTCAGGGGTCTAGAGTTAAAGGTTAGGGTTTGGGGTCAAAGTGGGGGGTAGGGTTAGGGGTTTGGTAGGGATTGGGGTGGGGGTTAGGGGTCCCGGCTAACGGTTAGGGTAGGGGCTAGGATTGGGGTATGGAGTGGGGTAAAGTGTAGGGATTCGGGTTAGGGGTTATGGGCTGGGGTTCGGGTGTAGGGTTAGGGTTTTGGTTAGGGTTTTGGATTTGGTGTTCGGCTTAGGGGCTGGGGTTAGGGGTTAGGGCAGGGGTTCGGATTAGGGTTAGGGGTGGTAGGGATCGGGCTCCAGAGCGAAGAGGCGGCGTGGCGAAAGGGGGGGGGAGGAGGGGGATCCGAAGTTTGAGTCACAAGGGGGGATCCTCCTCCTCCTCCTCCTCCTCCTCCTCCTCCTCCTCCTCCTCCTCCTCCTCCTCCTCCTCTCTCCTCCTCCCTCCTCCCTCCTCCCTCCTCCCTCTTCCCTCCTCCCTCCTCCCTCCGCCGACGACGGACCGGGAAAGGGTGGGGCGTGCGCCGACTACGAACCGGGAAGCGGGGGGGGTTCGCCGACGACGGACCGGGGAAAGGCGGGGTGGTCCCGGACCTTCCCACCTTGGGGGGATCCAGCGGCGCGTCTTCAGTCTTTCACCCCAGATGCGCTTTTGATGTCCCCCCGCACCGGAAGGGGCCCCGAAGCGTGTTCGAGGAAACACGCCCGGATTGAAACAAGTTGATCGTCGGAAGTCTGATCTTCAGATAGGCCCAGAGGACGCGCTCCGCATTGGCGGCTCGCTCGCACGTTCGCTCACCCATCCCTCAAGGCCTGGTTGTCGGGTCGGACGAACGGGGGGGATCTGCAGAGAGGGGGGCACGGAATTTGCTGCATGCAGCTGGTTTCGGAACCCAATCCCCTCCGATCGTTTCATCCGAATCATTGAACCACGCCTGCGATCCGACGCTGCGGAAAAAAACACAACATCCCGAAAAAACACTCCCGGAACCCTAGACCCCATGTTTTCCCTGCCTAGGCTCTGCCTAGAAGGGTTCTTACTCTCTGGGCTTAAAGGGGCCGGGCAGTGGAAAGCGCCCCGGGCGGTTCCCCCAGTACCCGCCCCGCGGTTCCCCCAGTTACGTCCCCTTAGCTTAGCGTTGCTTATCTCATCTTAGCTTAGCTTATTTCATCTTAGCTTAGCTTAGCTTCATCTGAGCTCAGGTTTATCTTAGCTTAGCTTATCTTCATCTTAGCTTCGCTGAGCTTTAGCATAGCAGAGCACAGCATAGCATAGCATAGCGTAGGATAGCACAGCACATCATGTCATAGCATAGCCCAGCATAGCATAGCACAGCGCAGCATATCATAGCGCAGCATAGCATAGCATAGCGTAGCATAGCATAGCATAGCATAGCGCAGCGTAGCATATCATAGCATAGCATGGCATTGCATAGCTTAGCATGGCACAGCGCAGCATGACATAGCATAGCTTAGCATGGCTTAGCATAGCATATCATATCATAGCACAGCATAGCATAGCATAGCATAACGCAGCATAGCATAGCATAGCATTGCATAGCATAGCGCAGCATAGCATGGCATTGCATAGCATAGCATAGCAACTAATGCTGCTTTCCTAGGGGCTCCAACTTCTGGGTAGGGTCGCACTGGGGTAATCTGCGGTATTTCTCGAGCCGCATCGCTCTGTGATGGCCCTGGGACCCGAAACCAGGCGAAAACGCCGGGTGTGCAGAGACTGCAACGCCCGCCCAGACAACAGGCGCTTTAACTTTTTCGACACATGAGCCCCCGACCTCGCGACCACTTCCCCAGGACCGGCTTTTCACCCCGAGCCGTTTCTTGACATCCCCAGGGCCCGGGGAGGTCCCCCAGAGGCCGAACGTGGCGAAAAACCTCCCGCCGTGATTTTCTTCACGTCCCGAGGGGCTCTGGGATCGCAGGGGCCGCAGGACCGCCCAGCGGGCCCGGCTCCGGCCGCCCCCGCCCGGCGGCGGGGCCGCGGCCGCGCGGCGCGACGGAGGCGGCCTCGGCGTGCGGCGCCGCGGGCGCGGCCCTCCTCGGCGCCCGCCACCGCGGGCGCGGGGTGCCTCGCCGAGGCGCGGGGGGCGCGGCCCGGCCAGGCGCCGAGGGAGCCGCCGCGAGCGCGGGGGAGCGCGGAAAGGACCCCGAGGGGGGCTGCAGATTGTCCAGTTCGCTGGCCAGCCAGCCGATTGGCTGGCTGGCCGCGGGCTGGTCGGCTGGCCGATTGGCTCGCGGGTTCGCTGGTTCGCTGGCTCGCTGGCCCAGCCGATGTGGAGGCCAGCCAACCAGCCTTGCAACCAGCCAGGAAGCCGAAATCCACCGCCAGAATATGTCCACTTCCACCGCTTCTCGGAGTCGTGTTCTGAGATTCCGAGGAGCGGTGAGCATGGATATCCAAGGGCTCCCTCGAGGGCGCGAAGTTATTCGCGCTTCGCGCTTCGCGGTCCTCGTTCCTTCTCCCCCTCCTCCTCGTCCTCCTATTCTCCCTTTGGGAGGGCGGCGCGAGAGCGCGAAGTTATTCGCGCTTCGCGCAGCGCGAAGCGCGAAGTTGGGAGCCCTAGGATATCTGCCCGCAGTGGATAAGGTCATGTTCTAGCGGCGCAGGACAGGTGCCGGTGCTCGGCCGCGCGCCTGGGGGGAAGTGAGAAGGTGCGGGCCTCCCCAGGCTAGGAAGGCCTCGGGCCTCTGGCAAAGTTGCCCGAGCCTTCCCCGACGCAAAAAACTGTTCAGAAGGCTGGAGGGCTTCGGAGAAGCCCCGCCGCCTTCTGAGAAGGCCTGCTCCTCTTCACTTCCCCCCGGGCGCGCCACCAAGATACCGCTATCCTGAGTTGCAGGCGTTGCAGGCGTTGCAAGATTTTGCCACACCCTGCGCTTTCATCCAGTTTCGTGCCCTGGGACCATCACAGATCGATCAGGCTCGGAAAGTGCAGCAGAAAGGTTGGGTCTAGGGTCTCGGTCGTGATGTGTGTGTGTGTGTGTGTGTTGTGTGTTGTGTGTTGTGTGTTGTGTGTTGTGTGTTGTGTGTTGTGTGTTGTGTGTTTGTGTGTTGTGTGTTGTGTGTTGTGTGTTGTGTGTTGTGTGTTGTGTGTTGTGTGTTGTGTGTTGTGTGTGTTGTGTGTTGTGTGTTGTGTGTGTGTGTGTTGTGTGTGTGTGTGTGTGTGTGTGTGTGTGTGTGTGTGTGTGTGTGTGTGTGTGTGTGTGTGTGTGTGTGTGTGTGTGTGTGTGTGTGTGTGTGTGTGTGTGTGTGTGTGTGTGTGTGTGTGTGTGTGTGTGTGTGTGTGTGTGTGTGTGTGTGTGTGTGTGTGTGTGTGTGTGTGTGTGTGTGTGTGTGTGTGTGTGTGTGTGTGTGTGTGTGTGTGTGTGTGTGTGTGTGTGTGTGTGTGTGTGTGTGTGTGTGTGTGTGTGTGTGTGTGTGTGTGTGTGTGTGTGTGTGTGTGTGTGTGTGTGTGTGTGTGACGTCGCATTGTTTTCGCAACGTCGGATCTCAGGTTACCGTTGCTTCGGTTTCGTCTTGGTTGGCCTCCTGGGAGGCCATCGTCGCCACCGCCGGGTTCGCCTCGCAATTCTGATCAGAACGCACCCGGGGAGAGGTACGGGGAGAATTTGTATCGGTACCTCTTGCTGTCCCTGAAGGAACTCTTTGTCGACGCGGCCATCTTCGTCGCGTGCCAGGTGTTCTTCCGCGCCACGGACTGCACCAACGCCTCCAGCTGCGCCATCCCGTGGGTACTGCCGGCCGCCCGCGTGTTCTTTGTGTGCTTCAACGTGCTGCTCCTCGGCTCCCAGGTTTTCTTGAGCAGGAGAGCCCGGCAGATCGGGGGGGCGGACGCGATCGAGGACGCAGAGTACATGGAGGCGCGCCTCAAGAAGTTCTCCGTCAAAGCGTTGTTGCTCTATTCTGTGCATTCTTATTTCGGACTCATGGCTCCGTTGGTGTGCAGTTGTCTCATCACTGCGTACGGGCTGCCTTTCTTCCGTGATCGAGAGAAGTCTTATTGGGCGAAGTACGGAGATCTTAATTCTTAGGCGATGATGCGTCGCACCTCGACCAGCGTTGGAACGATGTTCAGCCGACATGGATTGTCTCGTCAACGTGGGGTCCCGTTACCCGACCGTCCTCCTGCGTAACCTCTGGGAGGCGCCGACTACACAGTGAGACCGAATTCGGCCAGGTCCGTCTGTGTCAGACCAAGTATATGTCTGGTTAGGCTTGGTGCCAGCGCAGTCGACGAGCCTTCTCCGGCTGGGAATAGACATGTAAGTGTCTGGAGAGAGGCCCTTCGGCCAGGTAGCTGGTTCGCTGCCATTCGAAGGGAGTTTAGGTCCGCAGCTAAGCAGGGCCATAGCACTCACGTTCTGTTTTGATGTTCCTGACATGTTTATCGAAGACGCCTGCGGCGAACCACCGCCGCTCCCTACCGTTTGGAAATGATTATGTGGCCAAACGTTGGGCCCAATTTTGGCCAAGCCATTGGACTAATATGTGCCCCCCTCCTCTCTGGGGCCGTCTTATGGCCCTCTTGGGTCGGTCTTGTGGCCCTCTTGGCCCGTCCTGGGAACCTCTTGAGGGCTCTGGGGGCCGCCTCGGAATAACTTGGAGGCAGCTTGGGCCGTCTTCGGCTGTCGGATGCCCAAAACGGGGAGAACGCGAACATCGTTCAACTACCAATTGTAAATCAGTGAGTTTGGTTTCTTCAGGTCCTCCTGGAGAGCCCTCTTAGAGCCCTCTTGGGCGGCATCTGGGACTCATGAGGCAATGTTGGCGGTCTTCGCCGCGTCTTGGAACCATCTCGGAGGCCATCTTGGGGCACCTAGGCCTTGCTGGGGCACGTATTGGAGCCATCTTGCCTTGCGGAAGGGCCAACAGCGAATGATGAAGTATGGTACGCCAGGCATGTTTGTGGCAGGCCAACGGGCGCGGCAGATCGAAGACGCTTGCGGCGAATCACCGCCGCCCCCTTGCCTTTTTGGACGCGCCCGTGTTGCCGAGCGTTGCAGCCAGAGCTCGGCCAAGCTATCGGAGTCTGTGTTCCAGCCGTTGTGGAAACCCGCCGGGGCGATCGTGGGGGTAAAAAGAAGAAGAGGAGGAGAGAGAGGAGCAATGAGGAGGAGGAGGAGGAGGAGGAGTCTTCGTGGGAGCCTCTTCGGGCACTCCTGGGGTCTCCTGGGAGCTTCCTGGGGGGCCTCTTCGAGGCCTCTCGGGGGCCTCCTTGGGTATCGAGGGGGCCTTTGGGGACTTCCTGATGGCCTTTTCTGGTAGTCTTGGTTTGTTTCTGGCGCGTCTGACGCCGTCGGGTGCCGCCTTGGGGGCCTCTCTGAACCGATGTGGGGCCGTCTTGGGGCGCTTCAGGGCCACATCTGAGGCCATCTTGGGTATCTTGGAGACCTCTTGGGCCGTCGTGGGGCCATCTTGGGGTCTCTTGGGCCGTCATGGGGGCATCGGGGAGGTCTCTTCGGCGATCTCGAGGGCATCTTGGGACGTCGGGAGGCCGAACAGGAGCAGATGCCCCAATCCTTCAAACACCGAAGGTACAGCAATGCTTTGTGTCTCTTCTGGTTCTTCTGGAGGACCCCTTTAGGGCCTCTTGGGCCGCATTCGATGCCCCGTTAGGGCCTCTCGGGCCATCTTGATTGAGGCAATCTTAGGCCGTCTTGGGTGCATCTTGAGTCGTCTTGGGAGCCTCTTGCGGTTATGGCCATCTTGGCCGTCTTGCAGGCCATCTTGACCGTCTTGCGGTGGTTCGGCATGGATCTACGCAGCCTTTCGGGTGGTCGGCGGGTTGGGCCGCGACCCCATTGGGATCTCTAACAAGAACTAAGCCCACTCAGAAGTTCAGCGCGCCGTGCACCCTGTGGCACACCACGGAGGGCGGCGGGTCGAAGACGCCTACGGCGAACCACCGCAGCCCCTTGCATTTGGAAACGCCCACGCGGCCAAACGTTGGACCGAAGCCTGGCCACGCTATCGGACTATGTGTTCCCCCAGCCGTTGTGGAACCTCTGGGGGGGAACACTTGGGAGAAGAAGAGGAAGGAGCAGGCGAGGGAGGAGAAGGAGGACGAGGAGGCGAGGAAGGAGAAGGAGGAGGAGGAGGAGGAGAAGGAGGAGGAGGAGGAGGAGGGAGAGGAATAAGACGAGGCTTGGTTATGTCCTCTTGGGGCCTCATGCTTCCTGGGAGCCTCTTGGGGGCACCCGAAGGGCCTCTTCCTGGGGCCTCGTGGGGCCTGCTGGGGCCTCTTGGTGGCATCCTGGGAGCTTCTGGGAGCCTCTCGGCCCGTCTTGGAGACATTTTGGGACCGTCTCGGAGGCCATCATGGGCCATCTAGGCCGTCTTTGAAGTATCCTAGCGGCCATCTTGGCCGTCTTGGGGAGAGTTGGTTTGCACGTTGAAGTCGTCATGCGTCCTTGCGCGTCCTTCCGCGTCCTTCTGGGCGGCCAGTTGGTTGAGCCGAAGGCCCACGGCATTTTTGTGACAGCGAAAAACCAACAATTGCCTAACGTTCGGCACGCCGTGCACCCTTGCGGCAAGCTAACAGGGGGCGGCGGATCTTGTGGCCGTCGGCCTCTTCCGCCAACGTGCTTGGGTTCTGGGTCAGGGTCCTCTTGGATGCCTTTTGGGTCTTGGGGTCGGAGGCAACGACAAAAGGGGATAGGCATACATACATATATATATATATATATATATATATATATATGTATATATATGGGGGGGACGCATCGACCCCGAATCGCCCATTGATCGCCGATAGAGGCCCGATAGCCCCGATATGCCCAGGAACTTGCAGCTTCACTTTCGGAGGCCTATCGCTGACCTATCGGCGATGTGTTGTTCCCCTCTTGTGCCTATCCCCCCTATCGTTGCCCCTCGTTTGGTCTCTTGGAATGCCTCCTCGGGGCCACGTGTATGCCCCTTGGGGCCTTGGCGGGGGATCCTGGGGTCCTGGCGGGGGCCTCGCGGGGACCTCTCCGGAGCCTCCTGGCGATCTCGTGTGCCGTCTTGGCAAAAGAGGGTTCCTGGGGGCAGTTCGGGCGCACCCCTCGAGGGCCGAGTAAACTTCTGAATCTAAGTTGTGATCCACGCTCTTCGGCATCGGCAAAAGTCATGCGGGCCGCCCCGAAAGCCACGCGGAACGCCCAAAAAGCGCCCAGAATTTGGGGTTCGGGCCCCTTTCACAGAGTATTGACGATACCCCACATACGTACATTCGAAGGGACTCGATGACTTTCCGCTTCGTGCCCTGCGGCACCGTGGCGGAAAACGCTATAGCCAAGCCCATCCTGCTGGACACCTGTTCCGCGTTTCAAAACAAAAGTCGAGCGCGACAACTGACAGGTCTTCAATATTCCAACGCGTGCAATCCGCCGCCGACCCGTTCAGCCATGTAGTTTCGATCATGGACGGACCGCGCAGTGGAAGCGTATACGCAAGTCAACAAACATATAAGCAGGGCGATGGTAGAAATGAGCCGAGCGAAGGACCAAATCCTGTGCAGCTGCAAATCATGCAGGGCGCGGCCTTGTCCTCATGTTCTGCGCGCCGCGGGGGAGATGGAGTCCAGGGCAGTGCGGAGTGGGGGCTGGGGCATAGTCACGCAGGTGCTCGCTGAAATCTCAATGGGACACGGTCCATGTGAGGCTTGTGCTGACATTGGTCGGGGACCGCGTGCAAGAGCTCCCTCTTTGGCCGTACGTGGAGCTCCCCACGGGGCACAACACGATTGAGGGGAGTGCCAGGACGGGTTGGGAATCGCATCCGAGTGCGCAAAGATGCCAAAAGGGTGGACGCCAGGCTTGTCGCGCACGACATACGGGACACTCCAGGGCGGGACTCGCCTTCGGAGCAGCCTCGCACCCGACGGAAGCTGGCGGGATGGACAGCGGAAGCCGGCGGAAGCGTGGGGCCGTGCGGCTGGGTATTTAGTCCAACAGTTCCGCCTTCCTGCCTCTGCGCCCCTTTTCTGGCCCCAGCTCATCTCGAGGTTTCTGAGATTGGTGCTGCGCCGAGGCATCGGTAGGTTTTGACTGGGCCCGTCGCAAGACAGCCCAGTGACATTTCAAGGGTGCAGCGCGGGAAGCGGAAGCAGAACGGCGGCGTGTCCGCAGGCGGAAGCCAGCGGAAGGCCAGAGGCGGCGGGCAGTGGAAGCGAGACCCGAGACGCTTACTTTGTGTGTTCCGGGTTTTGGGAGCCGTCCGTACGGGTTCCCGCGGTTCTCGCCAGCCACAGCGCGCAGCATCGCAACCAGCTCCCAGCGACGGCAACAATCAGGAGGGGAAAAAACACACAGACACAATTAATCGGCCACTCCCAGGAAAATATGGGAAAATATGGGAAGTGGTGGGGAAGACAGAAACCTAGAAAATATGTGGAAATATGGAGAATATTTACCTAACAGCGTAGACTGATAGGTTTCTAGTTGACTCAAAAGAGCTCACAGATCACTCCACAGGGGGGTCCGGGCAGGCGTTGGGAGTTGCCGGCCGGGCCTGTGCCGGGCTCGTTTTTCACCAACAGTCACACACTTCGTGCTCGTCGACCTCTCAGAACCCCATTCCCAGGCCACATTCTGAATAACCGGATGCAACAGTCACACAACAGTCTCACTTGAATCCCAGAACTCCATTCCCGGGCCACATTTTGGATGCCCGGAGCCAACTGTAGGCCACTTCGGTCATTTTGGATGCCCGGAGCCAACTGTAGGCCACTTCGTGTTCCCAGAACTCCATTCCCGGGCCACATTTTTGCCCGGAGCCAACTGTAGGCCACTTCGTGCTCTTCGAGTTCCCAGAACTCCATTCCCGGGCCACATTTTGAATGCGGAGCCAACTGTAGGCCATCTTCAAGTTCCCAGGCCAAGTTCCCCATTCCTGGGCATGATTTTGAATGCCCGGAGCCAACTGTAGGCCACTTCGTGTTCTTCGAGTTCCCAGAATTCCATTCCCGGGCCACATTTTGAATGCTGAGGCAGGCTGAGGCTGAGGCTGAGGCAGGCTGAGGCTGAGGCAGGCTGAGGCTGAGGCCGAGGCTGAAGGCAGACTGAGGCTGAGGCTGAAGGCAGGCTGAGGCTGAGGCAGAGGCAGGCTGAGGCTGAGGCAGGCTGATGAGGCTGAGGCAGGCTGAGGCTGAGGCTGAGGCTGATGCAGGCTGAGGCTGAGGCAGGCTGAGGCTGAGGCTGAGGCCGAGGCTGAAGGCAGAGGCTGAGGCTGAGGCTGAGGCAGGCTGAGGCTGAGGCTGAGGCAGGCTGAGGCTGAGGCTGAGGCTGAGGCAGGCTGAGGCTGAGGCTGAGGCAGGCTGAGGCTGAGGCTGAGGCAGGCTGAGGCTGAGGCAGGCTGAGGCTGAGGCTGAGGCTGAGGCTGAGGCTGCAGGCTGAGGCTGAGGCTGAGGCTGAGGCTGAGGCTGAGGCAGGCTGAGGCTGAGGCTGAGGCAGGCTGATGCTGAGGCTGAGGCAGGCTGAGGCTGAGGCTGAGGCTGAGGCTGAGGCTGAGGCTGAGGCTGATGCAGGCTGAGGCTGAGGCAGGCTGAGGCTGAGGCCGAGGCTGAAGGCAGACTGAGGCTGAGGCTGAAGCAGGCTGAGGCTGAGGCTGAGGCAGGCTGAGGCTGAGGCTGAGGCTGAGGCTGAGGCTGCAGGCTGAGGCTGAGGCTGAGGCAGGCTGAGGCTGAGGCTGAGGCTGAGGGCTGAGGCTGAGGCTGCAGGCTGAGGCTGAGGCTGAGGCTGAGGCGGCTTGAGGCTGAGGCTGAGGCAGGCTGAGGCTGAGGCCGAGGCTGAAGGCAGACTGAGGCTGAGGCTGAAGCAGGCTGAGGCTGAGGCCAAGGCAGGCTGAGGCTGAGGCTGAGGCAGGCTGAGGCTGAGGCAGGCTGAGGCTGAGGCTGAGGCTCATGCAGGCTGAGGCTGAGGCAGGCGGAGGCTGAGGCCGAGGCTGAAGGCAGACTGAGGCTGAGGCTGAAGCAGGCTGAGGCTGAGGCTGAGGCAGGCTGAGGCTGAGGCTGATGCAGGCTGAGGCTGAGGCAGGCTGAGGCTAAGGCTGAGGCTGATGCAGCTGAGGCTGCGGCAGGCTGAGGCTGAGGCGGAGGCTGAAGGCAGACTGAGGCTGAGGCTGAAGCAGGCTGAGGCTGAGGCTGAGGCAGGCTGAGGCTGAGGCTGAGGCAGGCTGAGGCTGAGGCAGGCTGAGGCCGAGGCCGAGGCTGCAGGCAGACTGAGGCTGAGGCTGAAGCAGGCTGAGGCTGAGGCTGAGGCAGGCTGAGGCTGAGGCTGAGGCTGAGGCAGGCTGATGCTGAGGCAGGCTGAGGCTGAGGCTGAGGCTGATGCAGGCTGAGGCTGAGGCAGGCTGAGGCTGAGGCCGAGGCCGACGGCAGACTGAGGCTGAGGCTGAAGCAGGCTGAGGCTGAGGCAGAGGCAGGCTGAGGCTGAGGCTGAGGCAGGCTGATGCTGAGGCAGGCTGAGGCTGAGGCTGAGGCTGATGCAGGCTGAGGCTGCAGGCAGGCTGAGGCCGAGGCTGAAGGCAGACTGATGCTGAGGCTGAAGCAGGCTGAGGCTGAGGCTGAGGCTGAGGCTGAGGCAGGCTGAGGCTGAGGCTGAGGCAGGCTGAGGCTGAGGCTGTGACTGCGACTGCCGTTGCCACTGCGACTGTCATCGCGAATGCGACTACGACTGCGAGAACAGCAGAATTCTACAACTGGATTCTCATCCGAATCTTAAGGGGAATGCTTCCAGATATGCTCCTACACATCGATGTTAGGTTGCTTTGCCGGGATAATTTTATTTGTGTGTATTTATTTGTGTGTCCTGGGGCCCGGACGATCCAACTGGGGCCGCGGGTGGAGCTCCCCACCGCGCACGAGCCACGCGAGGCCTCTCGGGCAGTGCTGGGGTGACGTTGGGGGCCTCTCGTGCCGTCCTGGGCACGCGACTGAAAATGCAGTGAGGTCAAAATCCGACGAGAGTAGTCTACTCTGTAAGAACGGTTTTTTGAAGGCAGATCTGCCTTCAAAAAACCGTTCTTACAGAGAAGGCCTTTCGGGCAGTGCTGGGGTGATGTTGGGGGCCTCTCGTGCCGTCCTGGACACGCGACTGAAAATGCAGTGAGGTCAAAATCCGACGAGAGGGCCACAGTGGTGTCGATACTTCCAGCCACCCGGAACGGCCCCCAGGGCCTCCCAAGACGGCCAGGGATGCCCCGGAGGGGCCCGCAGCACGGCCCGAGGGCTTCAGGACGCTCCCCGGGACCGTCTTCGGCCACGGCGGAAGCGTGGAGTCCCAGCCACGCTCCTGAGGCCTTTGAAAGAGCCATGTGGGCCGCCCTGGTAGCGCCGCCCAGGAGCGCCCAGGGCTCCAGTCCCCAGGCTTTGGACCCGTGAGACAGCATCTGCGGCACGGAGTGCGGGGCGTTCGAAGGGGCTTGGGTTGACTACATTGAGTGTCCACGGCATGGTGGCGAATCCTCCAAGCAGGCTCCCGCCAGTGATCTTCCACACCTGACATGTGTTTCGGCGGCGAGCAAGGGGGGAAGTGATAAGTAGAAGGCCTCTCAGAAGGCGGCAGGACTTCTCAGAAGCCCTCGCGCCTTCTGAGAGGCTTGTTTGTGTCTTCGGGGAAGGCTGAAGAACTTTTCAGAAGACTGGGGGACTTCCGAACCTTCTGAGAAGGCCTCCACCTTCTCACTCCCCCCCTCGCACGCCGCCGAGTATTATGGGGCATGTTGCTATGTGTTTGCGTATTTCAGGAGGCGCACCCTCTTGCTGCACAATGTCTTAGCACTTGCGGCCACCTCCCCATACGCCAGAAATGACGCACCCCCTGTATAACACATGATATCAGGTCCTCGTCAGGTTTGGACGAATGTTATGTCTGTTTGTGTAGCCATTCTGGTCCAAGACCCCTGCGCTATCTCCTTGTGGTTACCGCCGGCTTGTCCCCAGCCCAACTGGCCAGGGGCGAGGTCGCCAATTCGGAGGAGCACATGAAGGAACTCTTTGTCGACGCGGCCATCTTCGTCGCGTGCCAGGTATTCTTCCGCGCCACGGACTGCACCAACGCCTCCAACTGCGCCATCCCGTGGGTGCTGCCGGCCGCCCGCGTGTTCTTTGTATGTTTTAATGTGCTACTCCTCGGCTCCCAGCTTCTCTTGAGCAGGAGAGCGCGGCAGATCGGTGGAGCGGACGCGATCGAGGACGCAGAGTACATGGAGAAGCGCTTCCAGAAGTTCTTTGTCAAAGCGCTGGTGCTCTATTCCGTGCACTCCTATTTTGGACTTATGGCTCCGCTGGTCTGCAGTTGTCTCATCACTGCGTACGGGCTGCCGTTTTTCCAGGACCGGGAGCACTCTTGTTGGGCGAAGTATGGGCGCTCAAAACCCTAAGCGTTGACGCGCCGCGTCTCGACATGTGTGTTGAGCGATGCCCGACAGAGAAAGAACAATTGCATCCACGCTCAGTCCTGACGCCATCCTTCTCCGTTCCCTCGGGGGGACGCCGAACAAATCGAGTCTCGAGATGAGCCTGAGCAGACCCATCAAGCAACCATAAATAGCTTATCGGACCTTTCGGTCTGGGAGCCTCTTGGTAGCCTAACGGGGCAATCTTGCAGCACTCTTGGGGCCTTTTGGGCTCTCTTGGGGCCCTCGTTTGGCCCTCTGAGGGTCATCTTCGTGGTATTGGGGGCTATTTTGGAGGACATCGATCAAAGAAGGGGGCGCCAACCGCCGCGTGACAAGGATTTGCCCAGGCCCACCCGCGCGGGGCCTGGGACAGGTCTGGCCAGTCTTAGTGCCAGCGCAGTCGGTGGTCGACCTGCACTTGCGCTGACCGCCTCCCCGCGTTCCTTCTCCCCCCCCCTCCCCCTCACCCCACCCCGTCGTGCACCCCCCTCTTCCTTCTCCTCCTCCTCCTCCTCCTCCTCTTCCTCCTCCTCCTCCTCTTCCTCCTCCTTCTCCTCCTCCTCCTTCCGTAGCCAGTTTGGCTCAAGCCATGATGGCTCAAGGGATGCCGCTGTCATCGCGGCTAGTTTGCCGCGGCCGCGCCCAGCCCTTGTCTCCCGATCGCGCTTGCTCATGCCTGGGACGAATGGCGGGGGCTCCAAGCGCAGAGGTACAAAGAAGAACATGTCGTGGTGTGCTCGCCGTGCTGCTGCTAGTGCAGGTGATGGTGTTCGTGGGGATGAGGGTCCATCGACGGGAAACGACGATAGGTATCGTTCCAGCCGCGCCTACAACGATGACGAAGACGGAATGGATCCAGGAAGTTGGGGCGCATACATGAATGGACCCCATTGACGAATTCGGTACCAAATTCAAGGTTTTCCGGGTCGAGCTCGCAAGTGTGGTTGCCAGCACAGCGAATGCAGCCGCAGGTAAAGCTGTGGACCCTGTCATGTCAGCCATCAAAGCGCTGGAGGAGGCGGCCAAGTCGGATGCGAACACTCGCAAGGCGCACGTGGAGGCGGTTTTCCGCCTTGTGATCTTCCAAGCGAAGCTGGACTCGCTTTCTGCCTAGGTGGCGGCGACCGGCTGTAGGACTGACAGTATTGCGGAAGAGCGGGCAGAGATGCGCTCACCCATAGAGGATATGCGGCGCGAGATTACTCCCGCCAACATGGCCCCGCCGCCGCCCAAGCCTCCCAGCGCCGGGCTCCACCGGGAAGCCCGCGCTATCATTATCAAGATTGTCGCGCCCACCGTGGTCAAGTAGGCGGACTTTGCATCTCACGTTGGCAAGTGGCTCAACGACGCGAAGATCGAGGGCTTCACGTTGGTGGGCGAGGAGCAGGATCGGACCTTCATAATGCAGCTCACAGGTGCAGTTGTTGTCGCTGGACGCTGTGTCGTTCAGGCTCTCGGCGCTTTTCGCCCCCCTGGCAAACGGCAGCGCGTGCGTTTTCCAGTCGCTGCGGCGTCTGGAGGTTCTACGCAAGTGCATGCGGGCTCTGACAAGAGCCCGTTTCAGATCACAGTCGACATCGTTGGGGGGATCGTTGCAATTATTCTCCGTCAGCGCTTCCACGGGGTCCGACTCTTCTTCGACAGGCAGAATGGTTGGATCACCGAGAACTGGAGCCCGATCCTCAGGCTGGAGCCCCATGCTGGTCGCGACCCTGGCCTGTGTTTCTAGCATGATGTAGCGCTCGCCAATCGCGGTTGGACCCGCGCTGAGGCGCGGACGCGCACGGTGCACACTCTTGAACCCAATGCAGCACCAGAGATGTCTCTGCAGCGTTTTCGACGACATCGTTGCGCACGCGGCGAACGGCTGGCGCGCCCTAGAGGCCGAGGAGCTGACGTTCACTTCGTGGAGCGAAAGGGCTTTATTACGCTGTCGTGGTGATCATGCTATAGCTAGGGCGACCTACTTGCAAAAGCGGGCTCTCGCACCCGGTGTCTGCGACCCAAGAGGTCCAACAGTCGTTGGAGGCAGAGTGGCGCCGTTGCCGGCGGTTGTTGGGTCGTTTGCATGTGACCGGGAAGGACACGCGCGCGGTGGCGCTGCCACGCTCGCGCCCTTATCGTCATCAGCCCCAGTGCCGAGTCGTCCACCTGTCGTTCTGGCCAGAGTGCTTCAGACGATTGCACGTGGCTCACGATCAGAGATTCGGCGCTACAGCTGTCGCAGCAACGATCGATCGGCAGAGGATGTTCGGAAGGTGGCCTCTGGGCTGGAAGACGATACTTCTTGGGGCCAAGCGGGTGCTAACTCGCGGTTGGTTGTGGCACGTGGCGATTTCATATCTGCTTCCCGCGACCCCCTGAGCCCGCTCGCCCATCGGGCCGCCAGGGGCACCGAGGTCGTCGACAACGCGTGCAAAGATATGAAGACCTGGATGGCAGAGCCATGTAAGATGCCGGAACTGGCTTACGAGGACCCCGCGCGCTTCTGCAAGGAGTCCAATGCGCCGGCGCAGATGGAGCGCATCTGGGTGTCTGGGCCGGACTGGCCACCCTCGCAACTTCAACGCGCGGCGCGCGCTGTCTCGACACCCGAGGAGCTGCCCGCCCAAGCTATTTCCGGCCACGCCGCCGTTTGGTCTCGCTCAGCATCGCCAACGGGACGCAGCGTCTCGGAAGGCGGTGCGAGCGGCCATTGACCAGCGTCTTGAATTTCGATTGCGACTAGAGGTTTCACTTTCGCAAGATGGCTGCCCATCCCCCTCCGCGTCGCCCCCTCGGCACCTCGGGCGGCGCAAGGACCTGGCGGGCGCAGCCGCATGCGATGCGCTTCGCCAACTGCTAGTCAACGACGCGCCCGGCACAGATGCCTGGCGCATCCTCGGTCGGCAGATGGCGCGGGCACTCTGCAGGCAAGATGCGGATTTCGCGCGGAAGGTCTGCGACGCGTCGGAGGCGGCTCGCATTCGCGCTGATTGATTTAGGAATGGCGCAAGTTTGATCGGCCCAGCGGCGCCCCGGGCGCGGGCGGGGCGGATGCGCCCAACGCGCTGCTGCAGGACAGGAACTCGCTGACCTCCAATGCGAGCATGCGCGCGGTCGCGCTAAGCCCACTGCGGGCGCCATCGCTGCCAAGCAGAGGAGAGCTCGCTTGCGGGCGCCCTTCGCGAAAAGGCTCGCGCTGCGCGCAGCGAGGGTCGGCGTCTGCTGCGTCGACCCTGTGGCGAAGCTTGATGCATTGGCGAGACTACTGGGCCCCCATCTCGGCGAAGTCCCCGCCCTTTCCACGTCGCGCGAGGGCGCGCGCCCAGGGGCCCGCGGCGCATTGCGATTTCCCCCAGATAATACCGCCCTCGCGCGAGCTTCTTTCTCGAACACTTCCCAGATTGGCGCCGTCGAGATCTGCGCCGGGCGTCGATGGTCTCTCCTGCTCGGCGCGGGCTACAAGCCCAGCAAGAGCGGATGTCCTTTGAAGCGCGCGCGCATGGATCATGAATTTCCAGTAGCTCTTCTCCTCATCTGGCGCGACCCTGCAGGCGTTCCTGCCGAAAGGGCGCCAAGCTGGCGACGACGGCGAGAAGTGGGCCACGCGCGCGCCTGACACCGTCAGAACCTTGGGGCTGCGCAGTGCGGATGCGAAGAACGTTCAACATCGCACGTGCCCCGATCGCTCAGCAGACCTCGTCGGCGGCCCAGCGAGGCATTATCGCGGGCGCGCAACTCATTTCCAACATCCTCGGGTTGGACGCCACGGCGCGCATCCCCTTGCCACTTCTTGCGGCGGAGCGCGAGCAGCCGCTGCGCGTCGCGCTCGACTCCGGACTAGCACTTGCCTCCGCCAGGAACTGCTCTTCACTGTCGTAGAGCGGCTTGAGATTCCTTCTGCATTGCGCGCGGCCCTCCGGCCATTATGCGGAGTGGCGGCGGCCGCGGGGCGGGCAGCAGGCGTGCCCTCGGACCGTCCGCGTCTGCTGCTTGATCATTCAGAGGCGCGCGCTCTGGCCGTCTCTCCGCAGCGGCGACGTCGCCCACCTTGGAGGACCTCAGGTTGGGCCTCGAGGCGGCTGGGCGTGGGATTTACAGCCTGCGGCGCAGCCTGCGGCGGGGCGTAGTTTGACATGATCGACCTTCGCGTCTCGGCTAGCGAGGCGGCAGTTACGGAGAAAGTGGCGAACTTGAAGCTCTAGCCAACGAAGTGCGTCCTCGCGCAACTGGGCGGCGCCTTTTCGATCCAGAATCAGTTCGAGATCCAGCGGAACCTGGGGGGGCACCTGAAAGCATGGAAGTTGTTCAGGGTCGCGCCAACATTGCTGCATCTTGGCACGCGGTTGGGGCCGGCGGCAACTGCGATGCAATTCTGGGGCGCGCGGTGGCTCGATTGCAAATCAGGGGTCGCCGCGTCGGCTGCTCCGTCTGCCCGCGCGCCCCCCGCAGCCACCTGACGCGTCGCGAGGGCGCGCCCTACCAAGAGCTGCGTCGCGCACTTCTCACCGCTGCCAGATCAGGCGCTTGCTTTTTCTAGCCCGGGCGATAACGCGCGCGATCGCCCCTGCCCCCCCCCCATCGCGTCGCGCCGCCCCCCCATCGCGCCCCCCCCCTTCCCCTGGGGGAGGGGGGGCGGGCGGGGGGAGCTACGCGAAGAAGAGGGGCAGGAAGCGGAGGACGATGGCGAGGAAGGGGAAGGGGGCGACGACGACGACGACGACGACGACGACAACGACTACGAGCCCGACGTCAACGATCGCGACGACGACGACGACGCTGGCGACTCCGACGACGACGATTGCGACGGCGACTCCGACGCTGACGACGACGACGGCGACGACCCCGACGACAATTCTCGCGACTCCGATGGGGCGACGACGACGCCGAGGACGACGACTGCGAACATTCCGACGACCGCGGCGACTTCGCCGGCGACGACGACGACGACCCGGACGACACCCGAAGCTTCCGATTGGGGGGGGGCACGTGAAGGATGGGGAGGGGGGGGCCTCTGGGGCCCTTCTCATCCTCCTCCTCCGGGCGCCCGTCTCCTC